GGGTATAAAAATGTCAGCGTGAGCAGCAAGTCTGATTCTTGACGGCCATTGGAGACTTGGAGACAGTTGAGCTACGCTCAGCATCAAAACAACAAAATACCGTGCGCTTGGTTTGACGTTAATGTTTGCCAAAATGAGGTAAGGAAATTCTTTTTCCCATATTTTATTGTAAAGATTAATGTAAAAAAAGATACTAGTCATATAACTGATTGCATTAATTCATTGAACACTGAGACCAACCATCGACAGGGTCAGCATGTTCAGAGGTATGACTGTGTCGCCCGTACTGTTTTCCTGAATCGCAGATTTTGGTTGAATCTCCGACCTGCACCCGCCGTGTTTGTGATCTCCCGCTTGCGCGCAGCGCGTGAAATTTTAATTCAATAGCGGGTTCCAGTTTAGTGGCAGTGTAGTAATTGGCTTTCACTAGATTGTTGCATCGTCACGGATGCTACGTATGCTGCTAAAAGGGCCAGCTCAAGCCCGTACTCGCGCCTCTTTTACCGTTCGTGTTATTCGGTTCGATGTTCTGCTCTATGATTCAGTGAGCCCAAACCTAAAGGGCAATGACCTCTGCCTCGTCTCCCGTCAGGGTGACGAGGCAGAGGTGATATACTGTATGTCTCCTGTATGTCTCCTGCTGCCAAGCAGCAGCCTGATGGCCGAACCACCAACATCGTCACCTCTCCTTCAGAGAATTACTACGTTTTGGTGCGTCGACTGCCACTAAATATTTGTGCGTTGACTGCTACTTTTTTTTTTGGTGTGTCGGCCGAGCTTGCCTGTCCAACCCGTTCTCTCGATTGCTTAACTCTTTCCTGGGCAGAAAAAGAGCCCCTGCGGTTTTTCATGGTGTTCCTGAACTTGTGGTCGTTCAATGTTTTAAGGGCAATTGATTTCTTCAGCCAATCACGTGACACCAAAATCGAGAGTGCCGGAAACTACGTGAAACAACTTCGTATCCCCATGCAGGACCTCCGACCTTACCTACGCAAGGGTACCGCCGACACGTTACACGTCCATTCCGGCTGATATTCTGCTTTGTACACACGTCTTTCTCAGAAATGGCAGAGTCAAGAAAACCCTACAGCCCACGTACGATGCACCGTTTCAGGTTCTAAGACGCTGTGGCAAAACTATGACACTTCTAGCAAAAGGTAACGACAAAGTCGTCTCTTCAGACAGAGTTAAGGCTGCCCACCTTGACACCGATTTTTGTGTACAAGATGTAACACCGTTTCGAAGACCTCGACAATATCAGTTCCAGGCAGACATTGCATAAAGGTACAGTCGGAACAAAACCTCTGAAACCTCACGACAATGGCTTTCTCAAAAATGTAAGAGCACGTCACCTCCGCCTCCTCACTAAGGGGGGGGGGGGGGGGGGGGGGGGAGTACTTGTAGTGCCCGCTTACGAAAAGCAGAGAAGAAAGAAGCGCGATCACGAGGAGTCTGCAACCACGATCGCGAGCAGCGAAGACCAGATGTTCCGAATGACGTAAACCGTACTGTAAATATGGTAAATGAAAAACGTGATGTAGAGTAACGCTCCTCTACAAGCACAATACTTAGGACGGGCGCCAACAAAGAACGCTCAAATAACCCTCTCCCTCGTATATCTTGGTTGAGGACAGCAAGTATGGAAGTAACGACACGAAAGGCAACGTCTTACTTCTTGTGGTAACGGCCCCTTACTTTTATAGACGGGGAAATTTTAATTATAATTAATTAGAATTTAGCCTCAAGTAATTGTAGCTGTAATTCCTTTATTTTTTTTTAACGTAAGCCCTGGTAAACTCTAACGTCTTGCAGCGACCGATGCGTGTCTAAGAAAAAAAAACACTGAATCTGTGGTGAAAATAAAACCCAAAGACGGGAAATCATACTGATAATGCATTTCACTTAAGTCTGGCCGCAGTTAACACTTCGATTCGTGGAGGCAATCAAACAGCCCCAAAAATGCATCGTCACGGCGTGAGCGTGTTCGCGCGTTCGCCGTCACCGACTCAAGAAATCACTCAAAGTGAATGCAGCGCGATCCTGCGCTTTCTCCTCTGCGCGAATGGTTTAACCGGTGGTTGCAATCCTACGACGACAACGAGCGTAATGACGATACTCTTTTGAATATCCTTGATAGGTTTCATTAAATCGTAGCGTCGGCTGCGGTGGAACTTACACTGAAACGAGGCATATAATATCTCTAAACGAAAATTATATTCGTCTCCTCGGCCTGCTGCGGTGACTGGTACTGCTTTAATTAAAAAGCCACCGACAGGGAAGTTCAACCCAACGTCTAAAGACGAAACATATCGGAAAATCAAAAGAAAAAAACTCGTCACCGAGGCAGATTTATTAAATGTTCTACAAAGCGCCGCCCCCCCCCCCCCCCCCCCAAAAAGAAAACATATATATGGAGATTTTTTTTTCTTTCGCAGCAATAAATTATGCATGGCCGAACGCTCATTCTCCGCTGAAAGGTAGCGCTAGAGGTTCAAACCAGATTCCAAAGTTTCAGCTCAAACCAATATTTGATTCAAAAGTGATTTTTCTGCAAATTCCAAATTGGAGAATGGGTCCCATGCAGTGTCGTCAATTTTCGGTTTCTGACGTCATAGAGCTCCATGTATTCGAGAGGTCCGTTGGCCAACATTTTCCCATTTACACTTTTAAAAAGTAAATTTCAACTTTTTAATAAAATACCGGTTTACGCGGAAAATGTGGGATTTGCTTGGACATTTAGCGCTACCTTCAAGTGGAGAATGAGCGTTCGGCTGTGCTTAGTTTGATTTTACTATGAAAAATTCCTGCAATTGTTTTCGAGGCCACCATGTATATTACGGGAATTCGTTTAGCATTATAGGATAACCACTTAAGAATGGCGAGAAATGAACACACGATGTCAGTAAGTGTGAAGCATAGCAGTAACGTGTCGTTTGCCGAACGCAACTGAACTGACCGCGATAAACAACCTCGCGAACAGTTTAGTGAGGGCTTGATAAAAAATGAAAATGCTGACCAAAATGTAAAGCCTGTTATTGTTTTGTTTTATACGGGCACAACTACAATCCGAATTTCCTTTCTCGATTCTTATCAAACTTGTTCGGGAATGAGGTTTTCGGGTTTATCAGTACGTACCGAAAACAGCGAACCCTCTATTTCTATTTAAACCCCAATGTGTTTTTGCTTGTGTTTAGAATTCGTGACAATATACAGTAATGTCTAGTTGACACGGATCCGATTAATATGGGCATCCACTAGGCTCCTTCGTTTTCGGGTTTTATAATTTTTAAAGTCGAGGTGTAAAAATCGGCTTTGAAAGTTGGCCGATCTTCATAAAAGTTTATATTGTTTATGAAGATCTGCTTTTCCAGGTTAGATTTAGAAACATGGCAGCATAATTAAGAGGTGGTCGTTTTTAATACAAATATATTGCTAATAAAGTACTACACACAAGATAGCATTGAAACATAGTAACAGCTCACATAGAATGTAAAATATTTCGTAAATCATTGTTGCTTACATAATATTTTGCATGTGCAGCATATCTCTGTCTCCATTCTAGACCTGTACAATTTTCGGACACAGTATCTAAGTTGAGAGAACGTTCCTCAGCATTACCGCTTACGCACATTTGAAATGAGCAGTTTCTCGCCCTTCCTTTTTTTTGCGCTTCTGGAAACAGAAAAAAGAAGAAGGCCGAGGGATACTCAACAAAGGTCATAAAGACCACTGTTGATTGTCTGATTTTATGTAACTGGAGATCATTGAATCCAAAAGAATCTAGGATTGTTTCCGTGGTGTAAAGTCAGAGCATGTGTCGCTACTAACTCTTTGCTGCAATTTAATTCCTGAATTCGGGGAAAATTTGGGCTTAACCCTATTTTCGAGAAACATATACGGTGCGTAAATATCAGGAAATATCCGGTTTTACCCGATAACAAAGGACCCTAGGTATACCTCGCTATATAGACTCTGTGGAAACGACCTTAGTGGACTCTTGCATTCTTTGCCGTTATTATGAACGCTTTTCTGGAGGAACGGAGGTGTCCATATTAACGAGGCATCCCTGTATCACTTGCAGGTCAACGCACTTACCCTACTGGAAGCAGTAACTGTCTCAATGTTGTGTATGTTTATTTGAATTACAAACTAAATATAGATTTAGCGTTTAATCTAGGAATAACGCACGTCCGGCACTCGGGTCACATTATAGAGGTAGGCTGTGAGACGAAGCCCATTGCTGTGACAAAAATAAATAAACAGTTTTATTTACTTAGAAAACGGCGTCGGCGCACACCAGTGTCACTTCCCAAAATCCTCCTTCTTCGTTGCCGGTGTCACAGTGTTTAAACATCATATAAAGAACAGTCTGCATATAGATTCTAACGCGAATCACCGCGAGACCCGTGCTTTGAATGCCGCATGGCAGTGAGTTCAAAGAAAAACTTGGCGCGCGGCATTCAATCAAGGGATAATGCGGTGACTCCTGTTTTTGCAGACTCTCTTTTGTATGACGTATGTGCACTCTTACCCCAGCCTAAAGAATCAACTTTAACCCCTTGAGCCCTAAAGATAACTAACCCCAGAGCGACAAGAGTTCACTCATATTTTATTGTTCTGGCTCGTACATTTTGCGCCGCCAAGTGTGGCTTTGTTTCGTCTTTCTTGTGCGCTGCAGACCTCTGCGTGAACGGAAAAAGCACGAGTTATGCCACTACCAGATGTTGCCAAATAGCTTGCTTCTGCAGGCTGGAAGCCTACCATGAGTAACAACGGCCATCTGTTTTTTTTTGTTTTTTTTTTGCGTGCTTTTTGTCTACGCCCTGTTTCACTCCTCCTCCACAAGAAGCTTCCAGTTGCACACTTTTAGGTGATTCTTTTGTTGGCCCTCGAACTGTTGATTGGCTCACGAAGAAGAGGGCTGGTATCACACATCGTATAAATACTCAAACCCCCAAAACGTTGAAGATGCTCTCATTTGTTTGCTCTTTAGGCACAACATGAAGCTTGCTTTAAGCTTGGCCTTTTTTGTGTGTGGAGTTCTTGTGAGAACCTACGGCAAAACAACTACTACTAGGCCTCGATTGGGAAGCTATGGCAAAACAAGTACTACTGCGCCTCGAGGGAGATTTCATGACAGTATGACCACGGCTTTCCCCAAAGATCCGTCAAAAAATGACGCAATGAAAGTAAGTGCATCTTTGTAATTACAAAGTTACAACCAACAGTTTGTTTGATTTTTCATGCAATCCCGAGTAACTTTTTGTAATTTATCGACTGTAGAAAAACGTGAGAAGGAAGTTAAGAAACGCGTACTCCTAGAGAACAAATATAAACATTAGTGCTTTAGTAATGCGCATTGTTTAACATATAAATTACAAAAAAAAATTATCGCTACTCTAGAAGTTACCGAAATATTAAAGTTTACACAAGAATGCTTTTGTTACTTGGCATTACCAATTTATTGGGACAGACGAAGTCCTATTTAGCACAATTATTTTCTCACCATCACAATTTACATACTCAAATTATGTTAAGGTTGGTATAGGAAAAATATCGGTTTTATGGTTTGTATTGAACGTTGTCATATCTTATGAACAACTTACTCCAACGCAGACCTCCGCTTCGTCGCAGATAGATTTTATTGATATTCGTTGAATATCATCCTAATGTAGCTGGAAGGCGTTGCTCATTGAGGAGCTTCCGGACGTCTGGCACGTCTGCTTGCACCAGTGACTTCACTGGCAGACAAGCTTCACACATGGTCATTCACGTTAAAACAGTTTATTATAAAACCAGGAATAAAAATTTTGTAAGATGAAATAAAATAAAAATTATATAGTGCGGCATGCCGGCGCATTTGTTGCCCGAGCGTAGTAAGAGGACATTATCTGAAGTTCGTCCCTCCTGCTCCTCAATCCGTACTGACATACATCGCGTCGCTGCAACAAGGGCCAAAAACGAAGACGCGTTCTAAGAAACGGAAAACTGAAGGGTGGTTCACGCACTTGCACCTGCTTATGACAGTGTGCCTTAAACCTCTTAAAATCTCTTAGGACTAGAGAACACACTACGCCATCAATAGGGTAGTCGTGGAAGACATGGCATTTTTGTACATTTTTTTAGCCAGAATATTTTTTTACATTGTTATAAACGATTATTTCTTATAGGTACTACTTACATTTGACTTCGCTGCAAATACTGCAGAACTCCCGCTTTCGTGACATCAAGTTCCAGGGTCACCTCAGAGATGGCGCTGACGTACCAGTGTGTTCTTTCGTCGAAAGAGATCACAAAAGCTCGGTCCTAAGAAAACGCAACGATGTGAACGGGCCTTAAGTCACGGTTCCCACATACGTAGATTTTTTAACGTCATTTAGGTCGTTTCCATAAGGCGAGACGAGACCCAATCAAACAAACAAACAAGCAAACAAACGGAATGTTTGGCGGCCTTCACTCGGTGTGAAGATGGCACCAGACGTGCCATGTCAACTGTAGCGCTTACACAGTCCGGCTCGCGTTGTCTGGCGTTCAGATTTGTAATCCTAAATGTTTGTCTTTTATTAATATAACTGATACTTAGTCGAGAAAACTCATACTTTGTAAAAATATTGCAATTTGTAATAAAAGAGGAGCTGTTAAAAAAAAAATTTGAATTCGTACGTTTAGATAACTTAAACCAGTATGTTTGAAACAGTAAAGATCGCCCAGAAAAACGTTTGTTGGGATACGCTGCTCCTCTAGTCGTAGTATTTATCAATCGCCATAAAATTGTGAATAATGTCAGTGATACGGCTCTCATAAAAGCATGACTAAAACATACAGTAAATCAACTTCTAAGAATCACTAACCTGTCACCTGAACAGACTATGTATAAATACCTTCTTTTTTATACAATCAATAGACGTAAGGCAAAAACTAATATCGTGATGAATTATAACATTCTTCCACACAATCGCTTGCAGATGAGTTCATCATCTCGATAATATTGTGGATTACGGTGTGTTCGCATTCGACTGGTTATATCCAAATGCGTTCGCCCTTTCTAATTTGGCTATTTTCTCTGAAGCATGGCTATACAAAAAATATATACACAAACAGATACATAATAAAGCTGACGCCGAGATTCATAACCTCTGCATTCCAAATTACATCATTAGTACTTATACAAAATAGAAAGAAGCTTACAAGCATTTTGATTAACAGTCAAACATTTTATAAAGGAGATATCCGGGTCCTTTTAAAATCGCTACGACACTAAAGAAATAGATAAAGAAGGCTAGGAAGTGCAGTTGATGCTCTTCGAGCTTCGTCATATGTGAAATCTGGCGCCTGTATTGGTATTCTTCATTTTATGAATGACCGTTAAGCTAAATGCAATTGATAGCACGTCTACCTCACATGACGTATAGGTCTGTGACGTCTCGCCTTAGTAGTAAACTCCTTCATATTCTTCAAATGTTTTAATACTACCGACGCGCTTCGAAGCACGCAAACACCAAAGGAACGTCCATACAAAGGACAGCCCTTTATTTCAGGGCAGATTACGCGCTGCGCCGCAGTATTAAGGTACTTAATTATAAAAATATCGGCGGTTTCATATTTTAAGCCCATGTTCCAGAAAAAGAAAAAAATAAACTGGCCGCAAAGTGGCAAAAAATAAATAAAAAATAATAACATGCATTTAGTCCACTAGTCGGCAAAAATATTAGACGCTGGAAAAAAAAATAACCTATCTGCGTTAAATTTTTATTTCAATATTATCTTTTACACGTTCCGCCTATTGGAACGCAAGGCAGAAGACCCGAACCACGAACTTCATCTCGCCACAGCTCCGTCTCCTTCCTCATGATAATGTCCGCCTGTTATGGCCACCGTTACCATGGCAACGAAGCGTCCCCCGGATAGATGTACTCGCGAACACATACGTCTCAAGCCAGCAAAGGCCTACGCCTTGCGTTTCCCGAAAATCGTCTGCTAAACTTCGACGAAGCCTCTTGGGAGTTACAAGCTAGGCTCCCAAACAGACCGCATTATTCGCGGTAACTCCTGGACTTGGATATTGACGAATTAACTATACACTCAAGCCCGAGGTTGCACCAAGCTTCAACTGAACCGCCAAGGCTTCGGCAGGCGACCGCTTCCTGCTCCCAGCAGCGCCCCGCACCAGCGCGTCCTGCTTTGGCTAGCGTCATTCACTTTAGCGTTCGATGCTCACCAAATGGCGTCCGCTATTGCTCACTTCAGCGTCTGCGTTCGCGTGTCCATTTATCCAGTAACGCTTCGTTGCCAAGGTGACAGTGCGCATAGTAGGCAGACTTTATCAGGCGGAAGGACACGGCGGTGTGGCGAGATCATGTGCGGGCTTCGGTTTTGTTGCCGTGCTTTTCAATGCAAGGAACGTGAACGCAGAGACTTTGAAATAAGAACCTCCCGCAGATGGCTCATCTTCTTCAATGGCTAATATTTTTCAAGCCTTGCACTAAAAGCACGTTTTTAACTTAAAAAATAGCAATATTATCATTTTCTTTCCGGCAGCATGGGGTTAAGTTGCTGACGTGCCGGATTATGTTTGGTAAATCGAACGTATATTTGGCTTCACTCGGGTCTCGTCATCTATAACATTTTGTCCTTTTATATAAGATTTAATATCCATATTTTAAACAAACTATTATTAAATATACTAAAATATTCATGTGCCAATTTAAATACATAGTGCAATCGATAAGTTGATGAGCATTTGAAATGCAAATTTACTTTAAGAACACGATGCACGACGTAATAATGTGTATTGTTACACTCTTCGCAGGTGGTCGAAATGAACGCTACGCAATGGGTCAAGTGGCGCACGTATAATCTGACAGATCCTTTCTTAGGCAACCCTCTACAGTGTGAAAACTTCAAGGTTATGAAAGAGATAATACCGTGGAACTACACATTACAGTACAGCTACAGAAGTGGGAATAGGTAATCGTTATTACTATCATACTATCATACTCCGAGAAGTATTTACTTCTTTTTACAAATATTAAACATGCCTTTCTTGTGCAGTTGGCTCGCACGCAATGAAACCATGGTTTTGGAGTATCTCGGCATACTACCCCTTGCCCCAAATGACATGTTCTTTGCAAGGACTCCGCGTAAGTATTAACACACTTAGCAGCTAAACATATTCATACTCCCACCCTAAATTTAGTAAACCTTGTTTTAGTAGACCGATCTCACCAGTCAGTTTGGCTAAGCCATCGTTTTCGAAATGCATCAATGTAATTTGAGTTTTTTGCACGAGTGACAACATTACTAAGCTCTGCGCGTGCGCAGCACAAAATGGCGCTAGCCTGCTCGCTCTATGCAAGCGCTGGCTGATGGCTACCTTCTGGGGACTAAAATTATGGCAGCTTCACGCTTGCGTGGAATCATTGATGAGATCCATGGTGGTAGTAACATTTATTTTTGAAGCTCTCTCACGTTGGCTTTTGAGCGTGACTCGTATCCGATCAACTTGGACTGCTTGCCCGTCGGTTGTTGCCAATTACACACATAATACTTATTTGATTAAAAAATAGACGAAGATTAGCTTTTTATTTTTTTTTAAATAATATTTTATACAGATACCGACGTTAATAAAATAATTAGAAAGTATTGCTTACAAATCTTAATTTTACGCAAGCCTTACTGCCTGAAAAGGCCACCAGTGGCGTTGCGGAATCTCTCATAAGAATGTACCCTGTAACGGGTTGCAAAAGTTCTACTAAAACTTGAAATTGTGTTCCGCTATGCTACATATAGCGGAGGCTGTAGGGGATTGCGGATTGCGTATAGCGGCGGTCGCTGCAAGACGTTCGCGGCAACGCAGCGTCGCTACAGCGTTCGCTGCGTTGCCGCGAACGCTGTAGCGACGCAGCCAACGCAGCAGCGGCCAGCGTTGCCGGCGCCGATCCCGAGACCGAGACTACGTCTGTACCTGGTAATGGCGCTGACATATCCCATAATCCCCGACTGTGATGTCCATGAGAACTACGTATATACTCTTCATCATTAAGATATACCTTAGCCTTAAATATTGATCTGAACTATATATCGAGTCGCATCAAATATCGAACTAATTTTTAAAAAAGGCTCGAGGTACACCTAAGGACTTCTCAATAGTTGTGAATGCGAAAGGATGCAAAGCCGCTCGCCCGCTCCCTTATTTCGTCTGCTGCGTACTTTTCATTGCCGGTCGGCGCGCGCGCATATCTGGGTGCGCTGACCTTGGACGCTCCATGTTAACGGCGCGCTGAAGGACACGCAGCGCCAAGGGGTGAGCGGTCGTTGAAACTGACGCGCAGCGGCCAATCGGAGGCTCGTCGACGCGCGCCAGCCAATGGAACCGAAGTTGAAAATCATTCAGCTTTGCTCCGCTCCTTTGGGATCGGGAAATTCGGGTGCCGTTATCTAGCCTTTCGCGTGGGTTCATAGCTGGGAGCGGGCTTCACTTGGAGAAAGGATTTAAGGTGCCGTTTGGCGCGGCTCCCTTCATGAGACATTAGGCTTTCGCATTAAAAAAGATCCATAATATCAATTTAGAAAACACCCCAATTTTTACGTAGACACATACAACTGCATAGCAGAACTGATTTATTTGGGAATACTAACTTTATACAGCAAACAAGAAACAATGGTTCTAGTTTATTCTTCCTTTTACTTGTTATACAATTCCGCACTCTCAAATATAAATGTTGTTTATGGCTTTTAAGAATAGATTGAATTTTTTCCACAGTTGACCCAGCAACTGACAATTATGTGATGTATTCCAACTATGTGAACTGCACCGTTCTTCGAATATCAGTTCCAAGTCAAGGAGGTAAGCTCTCAAGTGTTTATTGAGTTATATTTGTTTCTCAAGCGTGAATCTCTTCCACTTCCATTTCTCTCTTCTTTTATTGACTAACGACTCGACGTTGGGTGCAGAGGGGATAAAAGATCAGCAGTTTGAATCATTAACAATTTAGGTCATTACTGCTATTGAAAAAGACACAACACTTGGGCATAAACTGTATTTATTAATAAAGTTATTTATTTATTTATTTATATTCAAAATGTTGCCGTCGACAAGCAGGTATCTATACCGGGGTCACCAGGACATCAGCAAAAAAACAGCTATTTTGGGAATGAACTAAAAAAAGTGGAAAGTAAACACACAACGAAATAGTAAAACAAATGACCGCATCTCCACGTGATGAATTATGTTGACTGGGGCGAAGCTCTGGTGGTGCTTATGATACTGATTTTATTGTTCATAGGTATAATGCTGCTGGTGCTGATCTTTTTTTTTTATTGCTCATAGGTAGTGCTGAGTTCCGGATTGCGTTTCTACTTCATTATTACTGCTTTATGGTCGGTGAATTGCAGAGCCAGTGGTTCTTCTAGCGTAATCAGCTTGGATCCGCTAGAAGCCATGGAAACGTATCTCCACCGCTTAAGTCAAGGGTCCATGTCAGAAAGAGAATGTGTGGTATGGAACGTGGTTAGATACGCATTTGAGCATTTGACCGCAGCGCCCTCTCGTCTATAAACGTGGAGCCAATGCATGCAAAGTTTAACGCGATTATATACGCATTTGACCGCAGCGCCCTCTCCTGTATAGACGTTAAGCGGCTACATGCAACGTTTCATCCATGACAGAAACCCCAGCTCTTGAGTTACTACCACATCTCAAAGCCCCCTACTCGTCCCGCTGTCGTGGCCAAGTGGTAAAGGCGATGGACTAGAAATCCATTGGGGTCTCCCCGCACAGGTTCGAATCCTGTCGGCTGCGGAAACATATTTTTCTTTTTATGTGGGCACGGACGCCGCACTGACGGACGGACGGACAAGGCTAGACCATAAGGAGCTTCGCCCCTAAAACATGTTAAAATACAGCGCGCAAAACATGTATTAAAAGCTTGCAAATGCATTCCCTGTTAATTAGGTTGGAAATTAACATCGATGATAGTACTGCTTGTGGTTAATAGGTCAGAGATTTCGACTTCCAGACATGCATAAATAATAGAACGAGATAAAATGAAAACGTGTAAGAAAACAGAAATATATGTTACCTAATTACAGGCACATGAAACATTGGTTTTTAAAAGAGTCGAATAAAGTTGGTAGTACAATTTTCAACCGATAGGGTTTTGCTTTTTTGGGATGAAATGATTGTCAACATGTGCCCACTTGTTTAGATCAATTTAAGCTTACTTTATCTCTGCAAATAAGTGGAACGTCCTGCTTCGTGAATGTTACAGACTCATTGTATTGCACCGCAGAGAGAAACGCATTTGATTGCTTTAGGCTTCAATATGCTTTTTGTTAACCGTGTTCACCACCTTCTATTTTTTTTATTAGAAAATCACTGTGACCTCTGGATGGCGAATACGACTGCTTCCGAAGAACCGCCCCTGCTCTGCCTGGAAAACTTTGAACGATATTGCAACACGGAGCATATCTTCAACGTTTACCTTCCCAATTGTACAACCGGGAATACACCCGTCTTCTTCGAGTAGAGGTCTCACATCAAGATCTTTATTTAAGGTGCTTGCTTATGTTTTCTTTCTATCCCGCAAAAATTATCTAGACTTTATGGGTTTTGTTTAATGACTGGCGCAAATAAATTAGATTGTTCCAAGCACCATTTTCATTTTCCATTAATTCATACCAAATATCCCTATAGCTAATGGGTTAATGCGTGGTGTTCTTGAATACCATTCGGGCTTAAAAAGGGCTAGAAATAGGCCAGTGAACTAAGTACCATGAAACTTTTTACGAAGGTCTTTATAAGTGGTGCATTGATCATACTCAAATTTCGTTGGTGTATACGTTTCTGGGGAAAAAAAGGCAAGAACATAAATGCTTGTCTTTTTATGCGCAGGAAGTAAACAAGCAATTACCTTCAGGTTGACGCTTCCGCTGAAATGTCATACCTCACACGCTCGGATCTGCTGGGTCTACTTGAGGGTGTCAATCTCCAAGAAGCTTTCGAAAGTTTTTTACCATCTGGTGCTTTATCTGAGTTGCAGCGTCACCACGACGGTTTGTTTCCGTTTTCCTTCCGGGCAAAGGGAACACAAACAAGCTGTTTTCTTTTTGCGTCCCTTTTATATATTCGTATATCATTTTTGAATACATATAGAAAAGCTTCCAATTCAAAGCTTGCCAAAAAGCTCGGGTTTGTCTATATATTCAGAAAGTTATATATTCAACGTAGTTGAATATATAACTCTTTCTAATGGGTATGCCACCCAAGAAAGAAACCCGCTTACCATTAAATTTTATCAACTGCGTATAACTAATTTCAAAGTTTTTTTTTTTTTTTTGGTATTTATTTCTTCGAACGATTGCAGAATGGAACGGGTTTCCTTACGAAACTAATATTCAAGATTCTGTCAGAGCGTGTGTTTCCAACTTGTGTTCTGATTGATGGAACTCCTTTGTACTTTTATGGCTTCGTTTTTCCTTTTTCCACCCTGCTACGATCCCTCAGAAGGGATCAGCAGTATTTGTAAAAAAAATAATAAACAAATAAACCTACATTTCCAAAATTTGAATATCGATCAGCAATTGCTTTACCTAGGCTGTGTTCCAAATCTTACCCGAGTAACCTGTCTCTTACGTCAGCGGTTAATATAGTCACGAATGACAATTGATGAGGCAATGATACCTGAAGAAACTAAACGTTTAATGGGGCGAACTTGTGCCCAAAACAAAAAGAGAAAAGAAGAAAACAGTAGAGCGTCGCGGCGTCGATGTCAGCAAAACAGCAGGATCGAGCGCTTGGGCGAGACATGACTGCGGCTCGTTACGTGTGCTTGTGGAATCATCGGCGTAGAAGGGTCGGCGCGTAGAACATTCTGACCTCGAATAAGCCAACACGGTTCTCTCGAATTTACCAGAACATTACGTTAGATGCTAACAAAAAGGCCGCGGCCAGGAATCGAATCCTGACTTTGTGCGTGGAATGTACGATCGATAACTGTTAGGCCACGAGCGCGCGCTGCCTGCTTGGTCAGCTGCGCTCGCGGCATTATCCCCCCCCCCCTTCCTTCCAATTTAAAAAAGTGCATCATACCGATGTCGCACAAAACAAAAGCACGGATTCACAGCAAAAAGATAGCAGAGTCGCGAGCCACAGTTCGCAGTTCACTCCTTAACGAGAGTCTAAGGTTCTATCGTTCGTAATACGGCTTGAGCCGGACGACGTGCACCACTTCGGGTCGTGGCTGGCGTCTTGCAGATGGACACGTTCCGTCGGGTAGAACTTCGTAGTTCAGATCGCCGAGGCGTCGGATGATTTTGTTGGGTCCGAAATAGCGTTTAAGAAGCTTCTCGCTGAGACCGCGGCGCCGTATCGGTGTCCACACCCATACCCGGTCTCCGGGTTGAAAGTGAACGAAGTGGCGAAGTGGTGAAGTGGTGAAAGTGGTGAAAGTGGCGAAGGTTATACCGGCGTACATCGACTCGCTGTTGCTCATGAATCTTGATTCTAGCCAGTTGGCGAGCTTCTTCCGCGCGTTGCGAGAGCAGTTGAGCGTCGTCGTTCCCATCGTCGGCCGACACGTGAGGCAGCATGACGTCGAGCATCGTGGTAACCGTCCGGCCATGTACCAGTTAGAACGGTGTCATTCCCGTGGTTTCTTGAGCCGCTGTGTTGTACGCAAACGTGACGTACGGTAACACCTCGTCCCACGCCTCGCGCTTCACGTCGACGTACATGGAGATCATGTTGGCGATCGTCTTGTTGAGCCGCTCCGTTAGGCCGTTGGTCTGCGGATGGTACGCGGTGGTCCGACGATGGCTGGTGTGGCTGAGCCGAAGGATATCTTGCGTGAGCTGAGCCTAGGACGATGACCCTCGGTCGGTTATCAAGACTTCGGGGGCGCCATGTCGAAGGAAAATAGGTTCGACGAAAAACCTGGCGACTTCCACCGCTGTTCGCGACGGAAGAGCTTTCGTCTCGGCGTATCGTGTAATATAATCGGTCGCGACGATAATCCAACGGTTTCCTTGCGTCAATGTTGGGAATGGCCCAAGTAAATCCATTCCGATCTGCTGGAAGGGCGTAGTAGCGGCAGATATCGGCTGCAAGCGTCCTGCTGGCTTCGTCGGAGGGTTCTTACGTCGTTGGCACTCATGGCACGACCGTGTATACAAATGGACGGTTTTCGGGAGTCTCGGCCAATAGCACTTCTCACGAATCCAAACGAGCGTCCTGCTGTAGCCAAGGTGTCCAGCCGTCGGGTCGTCGTGGCATGCTTGAATGATTTCTTCTCGCAGGCTGGCAGGAACAACCAGCAGCCAGGCAGGGTTGCTGGTTCTGAAGTTCTTGAAGAGCACGCCTCGCCGCAGAACGAAGCTTGACAAGTCTCGGGTCAAGAATCGCGGAACGGAACTTCCTTGACCTTCGAGGTGGTCGATCACGGCGCGAAGTTCGGGGTCGTCTCGTTGAAGTGCTCCCATGTCGGTATCTGTAATTGCTCCGAGAAAACGGGCGTCATCGTCGTCGTCTGTGCTGTCGGAAGGAGCTGCGACTGGGGCCCAAGACAAACAATCGGCGTCATTATGCTTGCGGCCAGACTTGTGCACAATGGTCACGTCGAATTCTTGCAGTCGAACGCTCCAGCGAGCAAGGCGTCCTGACGGGTCCTTGAGGTTGGCGAGCCAACAGAGAGCGGAGCGCGGTGGTCCGTGACTACGCGGAACGGGATCCCGTACAGGCACAGGCGGAACTTCATTAGCGGCCAGGCGACAGCGAGACATTCCTTGTCGGCTGTTGAGTAAATTTTCTCTGCCTTGGACAGTGCCCGGCTTGCGTAAGCAATCACCCTCTTTGCTCCGTCTTGTCCTTGGACGAGCACCGCGCCTAGCCCGGTGTTGCTGGCGTCTGAGTGAACTTCCGTTTCCGCTGATGTATCGAAGTGTCCGAGGATAGGGGGCGACTGGAGTCTTTCCTTCAGTTCGTTGAACGCTTGTTCTTGCTCCTCCCCCCACGGGAAGTTCACGTCGTCCTTCGTCAGATGCGTGAGCGGTGCAGAAATCTTGGCAAAATCGTGAACGAAACGTCTGTAGTAAACGCACAGCCCAAGAAATCTTCGCACGGCTTTCTTGTCCGATGGCTTCGGAAATTCGGCGACAGCGGATGTCTTTGCAGGGTCAAGATTTACACCTTGAGCACTGACGACATGGCCCAGGAATTTGAGCTCGCCGTAAGCGAACCAAAATTTTGACGGCTTCAGTGTCAGTCCGGCATTCTGGATAGCCTGTAGCACGGCTTGCAAACGTATCAGGTGCTCGTCGATGTCGCTTGCGAATACCACGACGTCGTCGAGATAGACGAGGCAGCTTTGCCATTTCAAGTCGGAAACAACGGTGTCCATTACGCGCTAGAACGCCGCAGGTGCTGTGCACAGCCCGAACGGCATCACTTTAAATTCGTACAGTCCGTCCGGTGTGACGAAGGCAGTCTTCTCACGATCCCGTTCGTCGACCTCGATGTGCCAGTACCCACTCTTCAGGTTTATCGACGAAAAGTATCGGGCATGGCGCAGCCGGTCCACAGTGTCGTCGATGCGTGGCAGCGGGTAGACGTCCTTTTTCGTTACGGCGTTTAGTCGGCGATAGTCCACGCAGAACCGAAGAGTCCCGTCTTTCTTTTTCACCAGGACTACGGGTTAAGCCCATGGACTGCTTGAGGGCTGGACAATGTCGTCATCGAGCATTTCTTGGACCTGCTTCTGGATGACTTCTCTCTTTTTGACAGAGACACGGTACGGCGACCGATGGACAGGAAGCGCGTTGTCTTCAGTGACAGTTCGGTGTTTCGCAACGGTCGTTTGGCGCACCTTTGACGACGTGGAGAGGCACTCATTGAACTCGGCGAGAAGGTTACTGAGTTGTCGTCGTTGTGGGGTAGGCAGGGCACGGTTGGTGTCAAACTGCGAAGGCGGCGTTGTCTTGGGTGGCCACGAAGAGAGGTCTGATATTCCGGCGATTGCGGCTGAGTCCGAGAGTTCCCCAGCGTAACCCACGGCGGTGCCTTTCGTAAAGTGCTGGGCCTCCTGTCGGAAGTACGTTACGAGAGCGACGGTGTGTCCGTCTTGGAGCTCCGCGACGCCTCTTGTGATGCCGATCCCTTTTCCTAAAAGCAACTGGAGGCTCTCCTTCGAGGAGGACGTCGCCGCAGAAAGACTCATCGACCCCGACGGGTACGAAAGCACTCGACCGCGGCGGTAAGTTTACGTGGTTTGCGAGAACTCGTACCGCGGATGACATCGCTTTGGTTCCTCCGGTGGTGGAGCAGGTTTTCATAGCCTCAACCGGTTTGCTCCGAAGTCGATGACTGCGCCATAGTCGCAGAGAAAGTTCATTCCGATGATAACGTCCCTCGAACAGTCTTGCAGAACGACGAACTTGACAGGGCACGTCTAACCGTGGATTTCGACTCGAGCAGTGCACCGCCCGACAGGCGTATTAAGGTGTCCTCCAGCAGTTCGTATTTGCGGCCCTTCCC